TATGTACATTTAAAATATTTTGAAATCTTACAATGAAGCTACTAACTTACAAACTAGACATTTCTCATACACGTATGCTGACATTAAATCATTAATTATAAAAATAGATTCACTTGGTGAAATGATAATGAAACATTCAGATCCAATAATCAAAGCAATCTCGATGTAGTTCATTATCGAGTCCATTTACGTTCGCTCTTCTTTTCCTTTTCTTTCTCCTCCGACTCCTCCTCCTATCCCTCCTGCACCGGATTCAAGAGTAAAACCTTAATTAACAGGCAGAGCATAATTTGAATGAAATCTCGAGGAATGTTACGTCTATGCTGATATTATCACAGGCGAAGGCAAATCTTGTAAAATTGGTTGCCGAGCTTTGTTCAGGCAAGGCTCGGGAACAGCTCGGAGAAGCTTTCGTGCCAGAGATCCGCGAGGGCGGTGCCAGGACCACTTACGGAGCTTGCGGGCGAGCCATGAGACTCGTAACCGCCATCCGATTGTACGTAATCGAGTTTGCCTAGCGCCAGGGCGCCGGTCTCGGCTTCCTCCGAGCCGACGCTCGTCGGCGACATCGAGCTATACGAGTGCGTAGGCGAGACCACCTGGACAACCGTCGTGACCGTCGTCGTTGCCACCGCCTCTTCTCCCTCCCTTTCCCTCATTTCCTCTTCCTCCTCCACCTCCTCCTCATCATCATTATCATCATTATCATCATCATCATCCTCTTCCTGCTCCACCTCGGGGTAAATTATCGTTATGCAATTGGTAGCTTCGTCGTAAGTGCCGTAAACCATTTCGGCAGCGTGTATGGGTTCCTCCTTGATCTCGACCTTCTCCGCGATATCAAGGCCGCCGGATCCGCTTATCGAGACCCGTGGGATTACAGGGATCGCGGCGACACCGACGGGTAGGGCGTCATGCAACAACTCCACCCGATCACTCGTCTTCGTTATGCTTCCACGGGATGTATCGGCTTCCACATAACATGATGCCTCCCCCACCATTGATTCTGGATCGTCAAATTCTTGGCCGAGACATTCTTCCTTGACTGCGTCCTGCAAGCAACGAAACGAAAAATTGAGTAAATCCCGCCACCGAGGCCGCGGGCCGTAAAAAGTCTCGGCGGCTACTTTCTCCTGGGCGGCTCATCGACTGCGCAATCTCACCTGCTGCTCATTTGATCGAGTAGAACACGTTTCCACTTCGGTGGTAACCTCTCGCAGAAGGCTTTCTGCGAGCTCTTCGAGTCGCTCGATGTAATCGTCCGCTTGGAACTCGCTAAATAGATCTTCGAGAGGAGGTAGAGAGTCAGAATCTTCAGCAGCACGGAAGCGTCTGGCTTCAGCGTCAGAGACCGCGCCGTTTGTACTGTTCCACCCTGCTGCAGAGGGTTAAGGGGGGATACTGCAGATCCCAGCGCTGGTACAGTACAGCCGACACAAGCTTGACACCTCGAGCACACTTGCCCCGTCGATGCCTTCGACTCCGACTCTCCGTCGCCTCGCTTCAGCCTCCTCGATTCCGAGACGAGCAGCTCGTTTTGCGCCCTCAGCATCGCGCACTCTTCCACGAGGATATCGTTCCTCTCCTTCAGCAGCCTCACCGTCTCCTCCAATTCATCGAGCTTTGCCTTTTTGCGATCCCGCGATGTCTGGGCTGCCACTCTGTTCTTTAATTTTCTACAGGACAAAGGATTAAAAAAAAAAATTGAGTTACGGTTGCGCGACAGAGACACGTTTTTATTATGTGGATGGAAGCGGAAAATCGTTAATCACATCGAGCACTGTTCGAATCATCAAATTGGCGATATAATAATAATACACGAGGCCATTCGGCCAGGATGACAATCAGCCGCATTAAACAAGCGTGGCAATAAAAAATTAAAGCATGCAGCCGACGATTAAATTTTCGTTGTCCATCGTGTGTATATGTATATATGTTTATTTTATTTATATATATATATACACATTTCTTCGCAGTGTAATTCATCGCTGACATTTTTACCGCATTAATCGGCACAGCGTTTCTACCTACGTTTCTTTCTCACACGCGCACACACTTTAAACGAGTAAAGAGAGAGAGAGAGAGAAAAATCCAGAGCTACATTTTTGTTTATTTGTTTTTGTTTGAAATAAAATACACCGGCGAACGTGCATCAAAGTCAAAATCTAAATAATGATAAGAATGATGCAATGCTGACGCAATTATTGCACCGAACGGCGTGATAAAGTGAAAGGGGCTTACTTCCTCTGGAGTTTCTCCTCCCACGTGAGATGGTCGAGTCGACGTTTCTTGCCACGCACGGCGACGAGGCCGCCGTACTCCTGCGCGAGGTCGAACTCATCCGCGACGAGGGAGTCCGGCGCGGCCATCTCCATATGCTCGAGCTGCCCCAACTTCTTACCGGCCGTCCCGAGCTTCAGCTTATCCACGAGGATGGATGCCGCGGTGAAGTTGAGCTTGGCCGCGGGCTTCTCCGTCGTTTCGGCCGATGGCAACGTTATAATGACGCTCTTGAGGGCGTTCATGTCCGGATGCTGCACTGCACGACACGCTCTACCAGGCCTCGTCGACGCGTCTCTGCTCTTCGCGGCTCAGCCACTCCTGCAGGACTCGTGTTGATCACTCGAACGACCAGGCTCGTTTGTGAGCTCGCGCGACATCCTCGGGGCACTGTCGACGTCGAGGTCGTCGGAACTTGGGTAGGGCGACGCCGATTGGGCGCTATGTTGGTCGAGCTATGTGGTGCGAGCGGATTGGCCTCTCCGGTACTGTTTACCTCATCGGGTCAGCCAATGGCCGCGTTGGTCGAGGCGCAGGCGCGGCTCCTCGTCGTCGTCCCAGTCCTCCTGGGCAGTCGGTCGGAGGGAGAGATTTGATCGAGCGATGAATTAATTGAGATCGGCGGCCAACGATAGTCGCAGCCCGTGGCTTCGTATTTCAGCTCTCCTCTATCAATTATTTATCGACGCTCGTATTATTAGAGTCTTAGCCGTCCCTTTGCGCAGCCGTACCAGTTAAATAAAGATTTCCGTGCCAGTGGGCCGATATTTTTTATTTATTTACTAATGCACTGGACGACGATTGCCATTATCGATTCGTCAACGCTTGGCTATTTCAGGCCCAAGGGGCCCGATTATATTTATCACAATTGATTCGACCACGAGCGTTTAACATACTTTGCTCATTGCAGGAAAACGGCGTGGGAGGGGATGTGATCGAAATATGAACAAGTATTACTCATTAATTGCATTACCTACTGAATTTATTCGTTGGATACATTGATTGGTTGTAGTAAATAGCCGGTTAATGATAAGCGTTGGATAAATTAGTAGAGCTTGATATTGAGGAATGTACAGTAGGTTCGTACATTATAAAATAAAAGAAAATACATAATGTCGAAGAATAAGGCCACTTGTAATTGCAATAAAATTCGCGAGAGTGAAAATTAACGATTATAAAAATATGTATGTGTCGCCTTATTTAGCGAAACTCTCTTGGTATTGTAGAACGATTGAACGATTGCAAATGTTGCGAGACGCTATATTCTACTAATCGTATTAACAAAGTCATCGGCCGGACAATTTTATTTCGAATGCGTGAAATAATATTGTTGTTATGGCCGTTATATAGTACAATGATGTAACATTAATTATTATCTCGTAATAGAAGAGCGCGTTAATGGGGCATTAATGATGCAATGGTGTCGGATATTTATGTTATCGATGAGGTACACTGGAAAATGTTGATAAGCCGAACAACTGGTATGATATATTAAGGGCCTTTTTTTTTTATTAAGACTCCATTTAAACATAACGTGCACGTCATATAATCCATAATGTTTCATTGAAATTTTTCAAGTAAAAAAATATATAATTGGAGTTGTAGTGTATTAGCGCGCGAGACAATTGTAATTTGAGAAAAGTATGGAATGCTGCCTAGGAGTCGTTACGCATGTTCGGGCAAAAATCGATTAAAGCGAACGATAACAACCTTTATAAAATCAATTTGTGTCGTACGAACGCATTTATAAAAAAATTAAATTACTTTTCGATATATTGTAACAATCGTTTAGAAATAAATGTCTAACGGTAGGACCTAAGTGAATATCCTAAATGCTATTTTGTTTTGAATATTTAAAATATAAATTTTCAAAATATTTACCCAAAAATTTAATTATTTCTTTACAATCGCAAGACTTTTAATACGATCTAATTGATCGTTTATCCTTTGCTCGTATTCCTTCATTGAATTTGCTAAGCTAGTAGGTGACTCTAGATTATCGGCTACTGATATTAGTTTGTTGAATTGCTCCATTGACTCTCCACTATCGGCTACTGATATTAGTTTGTTGAATTGCTCCATTGACTCGAGACCACTGGATACTGGTAATAGTTTGTTGAATTGCTCCATTGACTCGAGACCACTCGCTACTGGTTTTAGTTTACTGAATTGCTCCATGGACTCTGTACCATCGGCTACTGATATTAGTTTGTTCAATTGCTCCGTTGTTTGAGTATAATAAATTAACTGAATAGTCAGGAAGGCATTAACACAGGGTTCCAAATACTCCTGCCTCTCTTTAACAAACATTTGTAATTCATCGAGTAGACTCGCATGAAAAATTTTCAATTCGTTGGCTGCTTCCTCTTCCACCCTTCGTTGCTTTTCCAATTTAGCGCACTGTTCAGCTGTCTTATCAGGCTTAGCCTCGTATTTGATCAAATTAGCGTGTGCCTTCTTCCAGATACTCACAAGATCTTCTCGTTTATTCAAACTCGCTTTAATGCGTGAGAAACTGTCGTACAACGCTGTTATTGGCTCTGTGAATGTCTTAGTGTAGCCTTCGACAACTTCTTGAACCGTTTTTCCAGCCTTTGTTAAAAATATTATAATGACGTTCAATAAAGATCGCAAGCACGTATAAACGCATTACGAAAGATTAGGTAAAGTTTTATGGAAATTTTAAACTTTTATCGATATCCATACATTACTAATTTGTTATAAGCTTGGACCAAAGATGTTGGTGCAATAACAAGATAGATACGTGTGTATAGTTACCTCGGCTGTGGCCACATGGTAATCGGCGACTAATTTTTTAAAATCGTCATTAGCATGAACTAAACTATAAGAAGTCAAATTTTTTGTCAACGTTTGGTCAGCTGTATCCAACTGCTCGATCGACTCTATATATTTCTTTATATCTTTCTCCAATTGCTTAATACAGCGTTCGACACTATTATCGATACATATAGCAGAAAGACAATTTGTTGTTTGAAAAAAATATAAAATTTTTAATTACCTTTTAACAATACGAACAGTCATATCTAATTCGCTATCTTCTGAAATAGTAAGACACGGTTGAGCTGGTGTAGGTCTCTCTATCCATTGTTTTCTTAATGAATTCCTATTCAAACGACACAATTAAAACATGATTTATTGAAATGGCTTGTACAAACTTAAATAACAAATTCGTTCTACATTGGAATAATTTAACACTTACCACATGTTTGATTATTTAAACAAATAATTCTAAAGTGTTGTTGCTATTAATACATTACATAAACATCATTTCATAACAACGACAGATACTAATAAATTTCTAGTATCATAATTAAGTTCACATTATAGTACGGCTTACTAATAAATCACAACATCTAAGAGATGACAAAGACCACACAATAATTAGCATAATACCATAAATTAAATTTAAAAATTATCATAAAAAATGATAATAATTATTATGGATAGTAATGGTTGTTGATAATGTTATATATGAAAATCAGATTACCGTTCAAAATGCGCATGCCCAAATAGATTCTCAGTGTTACCAAAGCTAAATTCAAACTGTATGTATCTTATTCAATAATAAAACTTTAAAATCATCACACACAAAAAATATAAAATATAAAATATAAAATGGTTAATAGCTGTTAAATAATATTATTTCTTTTATTAAATGAAAGGTGATTTATTAACTACTCGAAGCATTAGTGGCAAGTTACATTTGGCAGGCCGATTAAAACTATAATGAATCGCACTTGAAAAATCGTCCCTTAAGTCGGTATTTTAAGTTTTTATTATTGTCAGTGTGCTTTGATTTTATGGGATTTTCTTTAACAGCTGGAAAGTTCAACGGTAAGAAAGTGAATAGCCAAGGTTACTTTCTCCCTCTATTTTCTATTAACAATTTTCTATCCTGATTTTCATTAAAATTTTATTTAAGAAATTATTTTTTGTATACTTTTCATACTCGTTTAAAAAATGTTTACTATCGTATATATGTTTAATAGATTTATTTTAAAATTACAATGGAATTTTTATATATCCAATAATATGTTAAATTTTCAAATAATATAATATAATTTTGCCGTTAAGCCATAACAATCAAAATAAATCTTTAGGTTATAAAATCACTTCTTTATTCACATCTGTTTTGTGCCCACACATGCCCGAATCCTCAAATTCAAATAAAAAAACTATAAATCGACCTCAATGCTACTTTCCAAAGTCTTTTTTTAAAACCTTTGTTTCATAACTTTTATATATATATATATATATATATATATATATATATACCTTATAAAATATAACTTTCAATACCTTATAAATGGTTGTATAATTTAATATTAATTGCAATTTAATTAAAATTTTATAAAAGAGGTGAAAAACATTTGTTACAAATTCGTAAAACAGTTCAATGAGAAGATATATCTTGAATTTTTCCTTTAAAATATCAAATTTCATTCCAGCTTATTTAAGTTCTAATTTTAGATTTCAGAGTAAACATAATCATTGTCATCTTGCTGTTCATAATTATAAAGATAATATGGAGAAATTGACTTGGGAAGAAAAATACCAACTCATAACCAGAAATCTAGCCGAATGGCTTGGCGATGATAAACTAAAAACAATTTTAAAAGAACGCGATCTAAAACTGTATTGGGGCACTGCCACTACAGGCAAACCTCACATTGGCTACTTTGCCCCGATGTCAAAGATCGTTGACTTTTTAAGAGCAGGTGTAGAAGTTACGATCCTCTTTGCAGATCTTCATGCTTATCTTGATAATATGAAGGCACCATGGGAGTTATTGGAACTTAGAACACAATATTACGAAAGTGTTATTAAGGCAATGTTGAAATCTATCGACGTTCCAATAGATAAGTTGAAGTTTTGTAAAGGCTCCGACTATCAATTATTAAAGTAAGTAATCAATCGTCGATTACTCTTACCTATAACCATGTAAAAATGATTATATTATATTAAGGTATTTAAACTTTATTTAATTTAATTTTAATATTTTCATCAGAGAATATACATTAGATATGTATCGATTGGCTTCTGTCGTAACCGAGCATGATGCAAAAAAAGCTGGTGCAGAAGTTATAAAACAAGTTGCCAATCCTTTATTGTCTGGATTATTATACCCAAATTTGCAGCTGTTAGATGAAGAATATTTGCACGTTGATGCTCAATTTGGGGGCATTGATCAAAGAAAAATTTTTACTTTTGCTGAAAAATATTTACCAATACTAGGCTTTGAAAAACGTGTTCATTTAATGAATCCTATGAGTAAAATACAACTTATTATTTATAAATGAAGAAATTAAAATAACGGGACAGTTTGATTTAAAATTCAATATTTTCAGTTCCAGGATTGGCAGGAGCAAAAATGTCATCCTCCGAAGAAGATTCAAAAATTGATTTATTAGATAACGCGGCATCTGTAAAAAAGAAACTGAAAAAAGCTTTCTGCGAACCGGGAAATATTACAGACAATGGAATTTTATCATTTTCAAAATTTGTCTTATTCCCTTTATTCAAAGAGAATGAAAAATTCCTTGTACCAAGAGCCGCTGAATTTGGTATATAAACGAATTATTTGAATATTTCTATATTTATAACATTTTCTTTATAATTACATAAACATTTTTTCGCTTAATTACATTATACATATATATTAACTATGGCCAAAGATTTTTATGTAAATGTATTAACATACTCTTATTGACAATAATTTAAATTTGTAAGCTTTCTTTATTTTCTTTAATTTCAAATATTTTTTCCAGAAATAGTTTAAATATGCATTTATATCATTTTATAATTAGTACTTTTAAATTATAAATAAATATCAAATATTTAAATTCATTATTGTAGGAGGTGATATTAGTTTTGAAAAGTATGAAGACCTTGAAAGTGCTTTCGAGAAAGAATTAATTCACCCAGGTGATTTAAAAAGTGCTGTAGAAGTTTATATAAACAAACTATTAGATCCAATAAGACAAGAATTTTCAAATAATCCAAAATTGAAGTCGCTTAGTGCAAAGGCTTATCCACCTCCACAGAAACAAAGTAATATTAATATTCTATATATATATATATATATATATATATTTACTATATAAATACATTATTCTACTTGGTTTTACATAGTCTTAAAATTTACTTCATTATTGAATAGAACCTGTCGCCGATGAAATTATTCCATCTAGACTAGACATTAGAGTAGGAAAAATTGTAGATGTACAAATGCACCCGGATGCAGCCAATTTGTATATAGAAAAAATTGATTTGGCAGAAGAATCTGGACCTCGAGTAATAGTCAGTGGTCTTGTAAACTATGTTCCAATTGAAGAGATGAAAGATCGATTGGTTGTTATATTAGCAAATTTAAAGGCTGCTACTTTAAGAGGTGTTGCATCACATGGAATGGTTTTATGTGCTTCGGTGTAAGATACTATACACGATATCTATATTCTTGATATCTATAACGTCAAATGATATGTAAAATAAAAATAATATTGCAGCGATACTGAAACACATGCGGTCGAACCTTTAAGGCCACCACCAAGCAGTAAACCTGGTGATAGAATAGTGGTAGAAGGATACGAAAGTGGAAGTCCAGATGACGTTTTGAATCCAAAGAAGAAGGTTTGGAATAAACTACAGGTATGGAAAATTTTGTATTAAAAGACATTCCATTTGAATTAAATGCTTGTCTTGTTTAACTACAGGTGGACCTTATAGTAGACGGAAATGGAAACGCATGCTGGAGCGGTAATCCACTTATCACATCGACAAATGAAAAAATCACGGCTGATACTCTGAGAAACGTCCCTATCAAATAACGTATTTCTCTTGAACAAAGCACTTGTATTTGTTTTAATATTTAAATATTAATGTAATTAATGTTGATACTTTTTTTATGTCCAATGTCGAATAAAAAATTTTCACATACTTTCTTTAACTTTAGTTTAATGCTTAATAAAATAAATAGAGTATATCCTATTTTCTTAAATTTAGTGATCAATAATAATTAATTCATCAATGGCCCAGTCTTCGTAACTATGATCTGGTAAAAAACGACGAATAATAATTGGAATTTTGCGATGCTTTAATTCCTTCATCGCTATTTGTAAAGGATCGGTCTCGCCCTCTAATTCGACCATGACAGGAGCACACATTGATATTTGCAAAGCTCTTGTACCTAATATTCTTGCTCTTTCGTATCTGCAGAAAAGTTACATCAAACAAGTTATATATCAAGAATGTGAATAATATCTTTTAAATATTATTTGAAAACTTACTTAGTCATATAACCGGTTGTTATTCTTTTATTTTTCTGAACACTACCCGACGCTTCACCCGCTGCAACGAGCTCAAAATTCTCTCCTTCGTCTTCTTGCTGCTCTAGCTCAATATTATCATCGTCCTCAACATCATCGAAGTCATCCACAACACTAATGATACAAACAAATACATTTATCTAATCATACGGCTTAAAATATTCTAAATCACGCTTTAAGGTCACACGTAATTTATCAGCAAAATTTGAGTCTAAATATAAATTGCCAATACACAAATGGATATTGATAGATAACACAAACTGTGGGATAAATATTACATATTATTTATCTACGGCATAAAACAGATGGAGGTTATGTAACTTTGAACATTGACCAAGATGAAATATACATATTTTAATTAAATTTACATGGCCATTTAATTCACGACTCTTTATTAAAGTGCGCGTACCATGTTAAATTTAGCTAAAATTACAGCTCGATAGCAATAATCGATTAAATGATACATTTAAATATACTTACTCGTCGGCCTCAAACTCATCATCAGCCATTTCAAATCTTTGTAATTAAACTTCACTCTATCAATGACCGGCAGATGGCAGTCAATAGCCATCCGTTCGCATATCGCGTAATCTTCGTGGGGAGACGACGAGCGCACCGTTCGCGTTTCCTATCAGTCAATACCTTAAATTGTCCTCTGTAATTTCGTCACCAGATTACTAATGCACCGAGCCTGATATCACCTGAATGACAAGTTCGATTAACCAATCCGGGAGTGAACGCATTTCGAGTAAGGAAATAACGCTCCACTACTGCCGACTTCTATCACAGACGATATCTGTATTAGCCCTATAATTGATTTATATAGCAGTCCATACTGTGCATTGATTCATTCGCCGTACGCGTAATAAAATTTATATTCTCAATGTTAAATACGTGAAATGTATATTTTCGATTTTCGGTAAATAAACAGCCAACGGTATTCCAAGACAAAACGTTAATTTAAATGTCATAAGGTAAATAGTACGGTATGCGCGTAATCAGCAAAATCTGTTCTTTTCTGCGCATCTCGTGCACATGCAAAATGTTGTTGCTGTTGCCGTAAGTCGCCAAGTACTGCTAGCCAAGCAAATTATTCAAATGACATTGAGTAACGGGTGAACGTTTTATAAGTATTTTATAACTTGCGTTTCGCGAGGAATCCGGTGTTTTTATTGACGTTCAATTGAAAAGAACGGAAGAACTGAATAAATTTGAAGTTATGTTGTACAATAAAGATCATAATAATAATAATGTCGTTTCTGAATTTTGATTCTTATTTTTCAATTACGGAAATATTAGTTACGGAGGAGCGTATACAAGCTGAATTTGAACAATCACTACCTAACCTTGGATATTTATGTGCATCTTCTAAAAAAGATGATATAGCGCCGAAAACAAAATTAGACATTCCACTGTGGCTGGCAGATGCCTTGTGTAGAAGAGGAGAGTCGATTATAAATTGGGAAATACCAAAAATATTTAAGGACAGTTATAAGGAAATTCTAGAGGCTGATGCCTGCTCCGTTGAATTATGTAAATGGAATCAGTACTTTTATGAACTAGGATTACGACTTCCTCGCACGACTACCGACGACAATCATAAGCTTGCTGAATTTCTTCTAGAAGTGTTCAAGTCTCGATTTAGAATTATCATGGATTCTGAACAGAATCCTTTTTCAACGCCATTATTGCGTGGACAGCTTTCGACTCTAGAGAAAAAATTGCTAGTACAAGGAAATAGTGGAAAGCTACAGTTACTTACATGGTTAAATAAAGGAGTGAAACATATAGAAACATCCGATGTTATAGATAATATAAGAAAACGCAAACGTTTAGTTGTTTAACTTAATCATTAGATTAGATGAATTAATTTTTATACAAATAATATTTTCATTACAAAATATGTTTATGTAGAATTCATTGATGAAAATCAAACATCTTATTTTGTAATAAGTTCAATTAACATTATGTTTAGAAGATTAATTGTTATTTAATTGATTTATGGCTCTATTTGAGCTTACGTTAATATTGCTGTAAGAATTAATTACTAATCTTAATTACATAAATTGGAATAGTTCAATTATTAATACTTTCAGAACTATTCAAATTTGTCATATATACTTCTCATTAGTTCCTAATAGTTAAAAATATTTAAACATAATATATTTATTTAATTATTGTTTATCTAGTTCTAGCTATCTTAGAACTTGAAACAATTATTTTTTTTGTATACTACTTGAAATAATTAATAATGATATAAAAATATAAATAATAAATCATAATATAAAAATAATTAGATTATTATTTATACTCGTCAATAAACATAAAAAATTTTTAATACATTATTCATAAACAAATAACATTATTTTTTATTACTAAATAATACGGTCGTTGAGGAATATAAAGGAATTACAATTTCAATAAGTACCATTCATATTGAAAGTGATTGTTGAAATATATATTTTTCAAAAATTTAAGGTATAATAATTAATATAATCCTTATAATTTCAATAAAATTAGATATTCATACATTTTAAAGATTTTAAATGCCTTTTCTTTATAAACAATTTTATTCATTATATTTTATAGTTTAAATCCTAAAAATGAGTATACATCTTGGTACTTTCTAGAAAAATTTATTGCAATTAAAAGTAGTTTATTATAGTAAATATTAATCGATACACATATGCGTACTAAAAAGATTTTTCATAAATGGTAACGAACATTTCAATGCAATGATAAATTTGTATTTAGTTAGTATAACTAATTTATTAAACCCAATTTTTATTTAAAACATATATATATATGTCTTTAAAATGAAACTTATTAGTAACTTAATGAAGACAAAATAATTTAGCTTTGATTGTTTTAAACATTTGATTGTTTATAATTATATATTACATGATAATTATCATGATGGGCTATCAACAGAATTTTATACTAAATTCTTAATGTTTTATTCTACGATATTTTGAAGAATAAAGAAAGGGAAATGTAATCAAGTTTATTTATTTATTTATTTAAAAAATATTAATATCTACATTTTATTTGAAATTAGTATTTATTACACGAATATAAGATGTTTGGATTTTAAATTATTCTAATAGAACTTTCCCTTACAAATATATATGTTTAAATGTATATTGCATTAGATTCTTCAGAGTGTGAATTTTAAAATTATTTTTAATTATAATTATACAAATTACGGATTATTCTCAGTATAAATTAACAATCGGCTTATTCACTGCAATTAAAACTGAGTATTATTATATCATTATTCTCTCTAAGAATATTAAAATGTAAAAAATATTAATATTTTTTTTTACTTTTACTTCTTTATACATTAATGTAATAATTATATCATTGGGAATAAAGAATAAGAAAAAGTTGGCAAAAAGTCAACGTTACGCGGGGTTCCCAAGCGGTCACCCATCCAAGTACTAACCGCGCCCAATGCTGCTTAACTTTGGTGATCGGACGAGAACCAGTGCTTTACAGCATGGTATGAACGTTAACGATCACAATATCACATTCCCATCTACTCGAACTACCACCTCACCCATACCTATCACATCAAAACTACCCACAACCACACCAAACGGTGGCTGGTAATTGGAACAAAATGCGGAGCAACCAATACATGGGAATGCGATAGTGTTGCGTGGAAAAATTGAAAGTACTTTTCACCTTTTATCCTTATTCCTTAATAATGTTAGTGTTAACGTTCATACCATTCTGTAAAGCACTGGTTCTCGTCCGATCACCAAAGTTAAGCAGCATTGGGCGCGGTTAGTACTTGGATGGGTGACCGCTTGGGAACCCCGCGTAACGTTGACTTTTTGCCAACTTTTTCTTATTCGTTTCTATCGAGTAGTAGTCATCATGAAATTTATTTTTCTTCGTTATAATTAAAGTATTCGTCCTTCTAACTTAGAGACATATTTATTTCAAAATTACGTTTGAATTTTCGAAAGTACTTTACATTTATTTACTTAATATTAATGAATATAATTTTTAATAATGATTTATAAAATATACAAATTTTTAATTGAATTAAACGTTAAAATAAACATAAGTAATTAAATAAAAGTTTGTTAACAAAGTAATACGAATAATAGAATAATATAGTAAATTAAATAGAAAAAGAAATATGCTAAACAGTCTATAAATCGATAGGAAATATCTTATAAAATGAATTCTTTCATATCATTATGGATTATATGAGAATAGATTAATTATTAACGTATTATTAGAATTCTATGTATTAAATTCAATCAATTAATCTAAAAATATCTTTATTTACGTGCATTCTAAGCATAAATCAATAAACGTTTAAATGTACAAATTTCATATTTTGACAATGGAAATTTGTATGTTGTAAATGTAGAATGAGAATTTATAAATGTTTACATTTGTACGAATATTTCTGATACGTACGTATAATTTTTAATAATTTTATGTTGTATTTATATATAATCTCTATGATTTTATACGAAAGCATATATTTAATAAGACTATATATGAAAATAAATGAATAAGGTTTTTCTTATGCAAATCAATCGTAAAGAGTATGAAATTATTTATATGAATTCTATACTAACAAATTTTTTATATTATATACTAATAAATTACGTATTTATATCTATTTTTAATTCTACATTATATAATAATTTTCATAAATTTTATTCCTTTTATATTTCATATATATATATATATATATATATATATATATATATATATATATATATATTTAATTACTTATTTATTTATATAGAGACGTTTATCGTTAAAGTGTATTACTTTTTATTAGTATATTATTAGTATAATATATTAGTATAATATTATTAGTATAACTAATAATTTTCATTTTGATAAATTTATTCTAAATACATTAGTTTTTTTTTTTTTTTTTTTTTTTATAAAATTTGCTATAAATTGGTTTAATATAATAATTTTGCTTTTTATTAATTCTAATAATTATTAATTACTAATGAAGAGATTATCTTTGGTGAAACAAAGCTGCCGATACATAAGATACTGTAAATATTTTTATATTATATATAAAATACATCATTTTTATTATTTTCTTAATTTGAAATATCCTACATTGCGATTAAAAGTTTTTTTAGTTTCTAAGCAAAGAGTAAATGGTTATTTATTTATTAAAAGTATTCATTCTCTCTCTTTCGGTTTTATCACTTAAGTTCTCGTAAAAATACACTCATTATTGGTTCATGAACATTAATTTAAAATTAATTTCTCACTCATTGCGTTGTTAGTATTCAATAGGAATTAGAAAATAATGTAATGGCATTCTATTAATAATAATCACTATGTATATTAAATATGATTTCCTTTCCGATCTTCCAGTTTATGAAAAATTCTGATAAATTGATTAGACAAACGGAATATTTAAAAATGTGTACTATATATAATAAATATTATGTTTATATACAATGCAAATTTTAGATTTGAGATTTGTGCATGAAAATAGTACGAACATATAAATTACAACAAACAAACGTTGATTGTAAAAAAAAAAAATAGAAGAAAAAAAAAACTGTCAATGAGTATAAGTATTAATTTTCCTTTAACTTTGAGAACGAATGTGCGGTAATAATTTTCCAAACTGCTTTACTTAACATTTTCAATCCAAGCCAAATCACATAGAGTGTTATTAATATAATTAACGCAATGAAGCCATAAACATCCAATAAAATTCTTTGCCACCAAGACAAAGCAAGAATTGGTGATTTCAGCGTATCCTTGCCATGTCGTACTACATATTCGATCAAAAATGACGCTTTATCCACTGGTTTAACGAGATCGTCCTTAAATATACGTCCAATTTTGTCGACTGTTTGCCTGAAAAAAAAGATAATACGGGGGGATTAGTGATTGGGCATTTAAGTGATATAAGGAAATTTATATAACTGAGTATTTATTATACACGAAATCCATCTCAATGAAATAGTAGGCGTAAAAAATAATCTTATTTTGGCTGATGAGAAATAAATATCATATTTTACTTGTATATTGGATTGTGAAGAACTTCCATAACAGCTTTTGTCAGACATTCCTCCGTTATGCTCTCTATGTCGATTTTTACGGCTATATTTTTAATAGCGTACGATTGAATATTGAAATATTGGTCAGCAAATAGAGGGATTCCTATCATAGGGACACCATAATAAATTGATTCTTGCGTTCCCAATAAGCCGCCGTGAGTTATAAAAGCTTTAATATTTTTATGCTCTGAAAAGAAAATGGTCGCACATGTATTAACGTAAGTAAATTTTAATCGAATAGTATTACATTTGTCAATATATCAATTATAAAAGTATTCATATGGTATGGCAATAAATTGTATTCATATAGTAAAATATGTAATTGAACGAAAATTTTTGAAAATCGGCATCGGAACAAATTACAATTATTATTAAAATTAAAATCAATATGAATTACAGTTAATTATTAATTGGACGTGTCTTTCTAAATTAATGATATCCACTTTATCTGTGATATTATTAGGTCTATTAATTTTTCAGATTTTTTGCAAAGTTAAATAAATGTTATTTATTTCAAAGCGAATGAATTTAATGGATAATCCATAATTTCAATGAATCATTCGCGTATCTATTAACAAATCTCTCCAATTATTGAAAAAACTGTACGAGGATTATGGTAATGATGATAGTCATGTGATTTATGAGAGGATAAAATTATTCGTTAAAAAAAAATAGTCGAGCGATGCAAATTATAAATTCACATAAGATACATCGAGATAGATAGATAGAGAGAGAGAGAGAGAGAGAGAGAAAGTATTTGATTTTCTTTTTGAATTGAAAAAATGATTAAAAGAGCTCCATACGTAATACTTTAATTTGCGACAACCATGGTTGAGTAAGGACATTCGAAGGAAGTCCTGGCGGCAACTCCTCTGGTTTTGCAACTTTTATAAGCACTCGTACCGGTGCAATTTTCTCAAAGGTAGTGTAAAACATTTCGAGCACGTGCTTGGGAAATGTCTCGATTCTCATCATCGATCCAAAAGAAAAGTAAATAAATCCATGGCTGCTTTGGTCTAAAAACTTTTGCACCTCCTACGAACATCATACAATATCATTATAAAATATTTCAAATAGCCGTGCAATTATAAATCAATAAAACGATTCTCCAAATTGCTTATCGCAACGACTCGACACATCGAACAATGCCAGAACAATGCTTACATTAGGTAATGTTACATAGCGCAAGTAGTTAATGGAATTGCCAAATTTTCAATCGAGCAGGATCATCGTCGACAGCCCGTCAATCGCGACGTTGTACCAACCTTAGGCAACTTGTCCTTGGTATCTTCGATATGCAGACCAGCCACGGGCTGCACCGACGTCGCAAACGTTCTCACTCCTGTTATCGAATGATGATAATTTAACAAGACCAGCGATATGTCCTGCTGCATATCACGAATGTCCGGATAATCGGGCCCGAACAACTCCTTCACCTTCTTGTCCTGCTTGCTCATGTAATTGTCGAAGGTCCAGACAATGTACATCTTGATCAAGACGTTTTGCAGCCGCTCGGGGAAGGTCATGGGCGAGTTGAAGCTCGAAAAGGCGCTGGGCTCGATCGCGGCATTGGACGGATTGCCAATGGGGTAGTTCATCCAGTCGTACATGGTCGAGGTGATGATCGTAACGACTGGAACTTGCAGTCGATGACCCCAAGCGAGGTAGCAGTGGGCCACGAACAGCTGGTCGAGAACAAGAGGCAAAAAAAAAAATACCGATAACCGCGAGGCCAGGACGCGAGAGCCTACATCCTTCATTAAGCCGAGCTCACCTCGATCACGACAATGTCGTAGGCGGGATCGTTGGGCGGATCGCGCATCAGCTTCTGGAAGACCGGCAAGTCCATCAGCTCGCAGATGGGCATACCGTATAATCGCATCAGCAGCGGCATAAAGGCGAAGTTGGTGCGGGAGTCGAAGGACCCGTAGGACACGTTGTTAGAGAGGATCCCGATCCTACCCCCGAGGTCGTAGTCCGTATAGTTGGCCACTGGCTCGCGAAGTGGAAAGTGACTGTAGACATCGACCTGGTGGCCACGCTTCGCGAGGTTGCGCATCAGACCCTCGCACATTAGGAAGTGACTTTTACCGTGAAGCGGGAAGAGGCCGAGGATACGCAGAGCGTAGCTGGCATCCAAACAGAGGCAGAGCGCCAGAAACGCGCAGGATGCTGCGGTGACCAAGGAGGGTGTCATCGCGATATCTGAAACGAGCATTGAGCATTTAAAGGACGAGTTCGCGTTAGCTCCATTGAATTTCAACTTAATTATCGAAAATTCGATTGAAATTGAGCGCGCATCTGACCTTTGCTTTTTTGCTTTTGCCTTTTGAAAATAAGTCAGAATACACGTCGAGACGTGCCGAGAATAATTTATTCGTTCGCCTTAACTGTCGTATCGTCGTCGTTATCGTGATTATTATATGCGAGTGGCAACCGTATTGTCGGCATAAAAATTAGCGAACAATGTCAAAAGCACATTTCTTATGCCAAAGTGTTATAGGCTTTGGATGCTCAGCATATGTTACATCTAATTTAGAAATTATTTCCCATTATTTCCCCACATAGAATGCTTTCGCTTTATATTTGATTGTATGAAAGTAAAGTTGTCGACATTAGAATTTTAAAACGATATTCATATTACATTATTCATAATCGTTATTCGTTGTAGTTACTTATTCGCTAATTATTCTGGAGAATGTAATTGTAATGCAATATATAAAAACATAAATATAATATGCACGTTACACAGAATCCGACAAAACCATAATCCAACGTTTAACAAAAATCACAAATATTCATTGTATTTCAATAGTTGTAATTCTACAATTCGTGATACATTACATAAGTAATTATTTATTCAGTATGACTGCATAATCACTTAAAATACGTATGCGTGTATTTTCAATTCTCTTAAAATTTTATTATGTAAACGTAAATAAATAATTGCATAAATATAATATAATTATGCAGTGTATATAACGATAAAGATAATAATAATAATAATAATAATAATAATAATAATAATAATAAGAAGAAGAAGAAGAAGAAGAAGAAGAAGAAGAAGAAGAAAAATTTAATTGAAAAGTCTGTTTTTCTAGATAATTCTGAGATATTTAATTAATAAATTAATTATCCAAGTTAAAATATTATTAAGCTAAAAAAAAACGTACGTAATGTACAAATATATATATATATATATATATATATATATATATATTAATTATCAATTATTACGTTATAAATTATATATATGGAAAGCCATTTTTATATACGATATTATAAATTTTTTTTTTATTTTTCCACTCTTCGGATTAATGTTTAGAGTCAAACTTTTTCTTGATTCATGAATTATTGGAATATTTAGTATTTAAACTATTAATTAATGTTATCGTGAAGGGTAAAATCAATAAATATGCACAATAAACATATTTGATTCTATTGAACAAACAAGAATGTTATCATTTAAAGTCTTGCGTTTAAGATTTTGTTTAACGTATAATAATTACTTGCAAATGATATAAAAAGATATTTATATTTAATTACGAATAATAGAAATAAACATTTTAAACCAATTTCAAATTCATATGCAAATGAATCATTAGCCGATCATTTGTTGAATAACATTTGTCGATCTGTTCGATCACAAACAACAGGTTATATATGATATAATATATAGAATAGATATGTTGTATGAAAAATATGGAAAATGCAAAATATAAAATATTACCGTTATCTTTAGAAATTCGCAAAATTAATAATTGAGTATATATTTTCTTGCTTCATTAAATTGAAATTGTACTCAATATCTTTATCTTTATCATTATCATTATCATTATTATTTCGTTGTTGTTGTTGTTGTTGTCGTTATCGTTGTCGTTGTCGTTGTCGTTGTTGTTGTTGCTGCTGCTGCTGCTATTATTGAGCCACTTGCGATATACATTAATCTAATTATTATTACATTTTAATTAAAAAATATATTTAGCTATATAATGACAATATCATACATTTTTATATTCCTGAAACCTCAAACAAATTGTGTTCCTTTTTACTATTACATATCTAAAATAAATATGTATTGTTAATTGATTGATAACTGTGATTAAACTTTATTTTACTTGCGATCGTGATATTTTGAAACGATCATTGATAATGCCGCCTAGATCATACATAATATACGTTAAAATGACATATTAAGAGACAAGTATAAGATAAGGTGAGTGTATACAACTATAAAATATCATTGCCTAACGCGAAAATGTGTAAAATACTCTAAGTTTGTAAGTGATGTAGAGTACTTTAAATATACGAGAAAAATAAATTCCCTGGAAGTACACATTTAATAATTATTAAGTTGAAATATTTGTTTCTATGTTCATAAAAATTATTATATCAATCGTATTGCAACATTGGTTGCTGAAATTTACGATATAATTTTTCATCTAAATATCCAATTATTACACATTTTTAACAATTAATATGCGTTATAATATATGTTAAGTTCTTAAAGTAAGACATATAATTGAAAAAAAAATTATTATAGAAAAAATTGTGACTTAGCCGCATAAATCACAGACTATATATATTTGTCGAAATATTATATGAAATTGATGTTAATTATCACTTGATTTGTAAATAAATTTGTATTAAGCCATAATCCATAAATTAATACATTTTATAAAAAATTTTGGTATAAATTTATGACTTTGATGTAACAAAATTTCCATGCATATTGATAACGATACACGGAATATTTTATTAAAAAAATAATAGAATTTGAAAATGCATAATTATATTTAGAAATATTACTGCACAACCACGTGCACTTGGCTCAAGACATCAAAATCTCATATCCTTCTCTAACAGTACTTCATCGTCGATTATATTATCGATTCAATACTATCATATCACCGACAGATATTGTACGACATCGACATTTCTCAATATATCCGCATCTATTTTTCAGTTATTTTAATTCTTTTCATATTAAAAATAATCTTGATTAATCGCGAATGACTGATTGTAGTACATTTTTTTTTATTCACTAAACAATTTATTTAACTATTCATTATTTGCTTATATCTATTGTTATTTATTACTTATATTACTTATTCTTATATGATTTATTATATATTATATATATATATATATATTTTAATCAACAACTATTAAATAATCTGATAGGTTAATACTACTCATTGCTTATTTAGGGTATTTTTTTAAACGATATCGATTTCGTTATCTGATACGTACATTTGAACTTACGAATAGAACATATCTATTTCATAGAGCATAAAATGTTTTTAAAAGAATGTTTACATGCAAAAGTGTATGCATGCATCGGATATAAAATACATTTTATTACTTTACTAAGTCACTTAAATCCCTGGTAATTTATATGGAATTACACTGATAAGTAATATTTATTAATAGATTGATGTATAAGTATAATTGATAAATGTAAGTCAAATATTACAAAGTTCAATAAAATATGAACTACACAAACGTATAATTCAACAAATATATCTTGTGATGATATAATCATGATAGAGTGCTGTGTATACTTAATGCAAAGCGTTCTATTAATAATAAAAAATTAAACAATTATTTATTTAAATAAAATGTCATCGAACTTGCAACTTATAAAGCATTTTTTTTTTTTTTTTTTTTTTAAATACGAATTATTAACATATACTTAATCAATAATAAGTTATTAATTAATTTTACTCAACTAGTAAATAACATACAAATGCATAATATTATAATACAATAAACGTTAAAAATAAAAAATACAGATTCATTTTAATCACTCAATAATACGTCGCTTATACAAATTAAATGATTTTCATTTATCTTATATAAAAAAAAAAAAAAAAAAAAAAAAAAAAAAAATAAAAGTACATTCTATTTTAATTAACCAACTTAATTAAATGATTTAATAATTTATAACGAAATGATTATTTCAATATAGATTTATTATTAATCAATGAAAACAAAATTTATTCAATGTTTTACCATAAAATTTTACACAACACACAGTGAACACTTGTAGTACAACAGTATACAGTATTATTACATATTTAATTGCTTATAAATTTAATTTCTTTACCATTTACAAACATCAAAGTGAGACGAATATTAAAAAGAACTTCTTAAAAAGTGATTAACTTGCTTAGGAAATACGACTTATACTAGTATATGACTCTATAATATATAAATCACGACTGTTTTAAGAAATTTTTTATACCTGTGAAGATAGATTTTATTTTATTCTCGAGATAGTTACACCTCCCCCACCTGACTAAAGCACCTCGTTATTGCAACATAAACGACCAATATCATTTTCATTCATAAAAAATATAGCAGTTAAATAAAACGAGAACATTAAGCCAAACATATTATTTAGATTTATTTATATGTTCCCTTGGTAAGCTCTTTCAGCATTAGAATAATGACGGTTGTAAGTTATAATAATTGTTTATTCTAATAAGATAAGTGTAAATTGTGCGCTAAAAATCCGTTATAAATTACCATACAAAAGTAATTAAATTTTACATTAAAGTATCGTTTATTTAATTATTGGTTCAATTACAAAATATAAAATTTAAATGAATGTTAAACATTATGATGTGTGATTCGTCGGATACGTCGGATAAGTATCCAGTCAATTTTTAATAATATCTTTCATAATCGTACATTTATTAAAAATATATTAAAAAAAATTTTATATTACATTATATTTATGTTAAAAAAACGGCATGTTAATTGTTTTTTATTTAAAATTTTTTTTTTTTTTTTTTTTTTTTTTTTTAATTTGTAAAATAAGAATGATTGTGATATTTATAAATACAAATTTCGATCCTCGAGAATAGATTTTGACAATCCTAGCCGCCTTATGTCGTGTAAAATGTTTTCAAACGAGCAGACTTTCACTTTTTATCGACGCTCGATACTTTTTAACATAAGTATTATTACGAGCTCCGTATTAAACAATATTTTGAATATTTGTCCTTATCGTTATTTACTTACTGCAAATCACTTCACTAAATAGCTTTTAAAGCCACTGTATTCTCACCACAATTGTATTTTTAATAATATTCGAAATTGAAATATCAATGGTCTTACTTTGAAGTGGCGTGAAAGCATTTTTATGAAGAAGAAAAAAAGTAAGATAAAAACTTATCAAAATACGCTCTGCACATGTGAATATACGAGATTGTAACTTTATCACGTGGATACCGATAAAAGGTACTTATTACGAGACTCGACAATCAAGTACGTTAATAAATCTTATAAGTTTATCATTACCTCCCTTATTTACAATATACTTGCAACTACCCAACTCAACTACCCAATAAGCCACGTACTACGAGTGGATTTCCTCGAAGGAAGTTTGGAAAATTACGAAAACTCGACCGAAGAAGGATTTGTTCGTTTGTTGTCCGATCGCACTGTTTTACATTAGGGGTGGAGGAAAAAAAAAAGATCCATTTGGTTTGATATCTTCAGGCCTTTATCGATTAACGAGACGATACCACCGTAAATGTTTCAACTCATATTTCGAAAAATAAAAATTGCACGTATTTTTTTTTTTTTTTTTTTTTTTTTTTTTTTTTTAAATAATAACGCGAAAATGTCGAAATTTTTGCGCATTTCAGCAACGACGCTAAATTTTTTCCACGTTCTGATTTTATCGTTAATCGATATTACATCGGTTTCATTATCATATTTATAATAAACTCGAGAACTCTAATCAACATCGTAATTCAATCGATCGACATATATCGTTTATCGGAATTTATCGATACACAATATTAATTTGAATTAAATAACAGCAAAGTGATATTATATTCCTGCATGAGCTTGAATTATTGAATTTTCTCTGCTTTTACATACTTATGAATCGTATGAATATAACATCATCGCGTGACGATTAATTGCCGTATAATAACGAGGACATTTTCATTTCGTCGGTGCCATTGACATTATTATAAAAGCCTCAAAATCTCAGATGCCTGTTTTATTAAATTATGATCGTTGCGCACACTTCATCATAAATATATCACTCGGCTCGGTGTCATTTGCTTTAGTTATTTGATAAGAGGCTCGATTAAACAAAGTGGAAATTGTTGGTCATATTGGCTGCAAATAAAGAGGAATTAAAGCTTTGGAAGGCGAACCGACGAATAATTATAGAATTTTCATAAGTTCTAACAAAAAAAAAAAAAAAAAATAAAAAAATAAAAAAAGTAGTCACAATTACAAATTACGTATTATGTTATTGCTACAAGATTATCTTACATTATTAAGGAAATCTAACTTTTTTTTGTTTTTTGTTTTTAATTAGTTAATATTAACTCGCTTGGCTCTACTCATACCACTCTACTAGTCATAAAAACAAAGAACATACAAAAAAAAAAAAAAAAAAAAAAAAAAAAAAAAATAAGAAAAAAGAAAGAAGAAAAGACGAAAAAATATATCATGCCAAGATAAAGACAGTCACAACAAGCTGTAGAATACAATTTATGCCAGAATAGAAACTTATAAAAAGTCTTGTAGATGTAGATATGTATCCTTTGTCTCTGTTGCTTACCAGCGAATCTCAAGGGGAGTCTATAGACTGTGCAAATGGATTCTTCAGGCAAGCTGCGAGATATATATATATATATATATATATATATTCACTCGACGGGCCCTCGAGCGAATTCCATTGGGCGAGCAAGTGATCCTCGACGCCTCTGAAATTTCTCCGATGATCTTCCAATGAATATCGCGTTTCGACAATGGACGAGACAAACGTCGTATTATTATGCTGATTCCAATTAGACTGGTTGCCTGTCTGAATAAGAGTGAGCCTCCTAGCGAAAATCTCATATCGTATATTTTTCCCACTTCATTCCCTTCCCTTTCTTTTTATTATTTTCTTTCTTTCTTTCATTTTTTGTTTGTTTTTTTTTTTGTTTTCGTTTTGTTTTGTGTATACGCGAACGTTTACATGCGAGAAGACGAATGAACAGAACGATCATTACTATACAGAGAAATTGTGAGCATTGCCTTACAAGTTTAGTTATCTAAAGAACACTTTTACTTGTTTTAATAACGTATTTGTAAAATCAATTAAATTATCGCAAAAAAATAAAAATAAGGCATTGTAAGGTAATGTTTACAATAATCGAGGTAATGCTCTTAACGAGATAATGGAAGTTTTGTCCATTGTATTTTTAATCCATAAATTTCTAATAAAGTAATCATAGTGAATAATTTGAGAAGCACTTATTTCATTAATACCATGAATTGCAATAAATTTTTGTATTTTAAACTAATAATTGTTAGATATAATATATTTCATATCATACATGCCATGAAATTTGTTGACTTATATGTTCTTTATATGAGAGTGCGTTGATAATCATTAGCGGATTTATTTTACGCGCGCGCGCGCGCGCACACACACACACACACATATGCATATATATATATATATATATATATATATATATATATATATATCTTACAAGCTAATGATGGCAGATTATTTTCCACGGAATGTAGAATAAAATTTTCGAAAATATTGTATGGGCGTACTATTGGAGCGCGAATGTCGTAAAATAAGAAAAATTGGATTAAATATAGAATAATAATTCGAAACATGTGAATTTTTCAAAAGAGATTTGAAATGATTAGATAAGATTTGAAAATATATCCGTTAGAGATTATGAAATGCTTGTTATCGATTGATCGATCGATCGATCAATACATGAATCTCGGCATTATTTTATGTAAATTACTTTTTAATTAAGAACGACAATATATATTTCATCGATGAATTTTGAAAGTGAAATTTAAATTTATCCTCGGCTGACCAGTATTCTGAAATTGTTTATACATAAATTATAAATAACATGGTTAAAGTATCGCGTTTAGCTATGATTAAAACGAGAATACAAAATGTTAACGATTCCAGATCAATTGTAATTTGACGGCTGCATCATCGCGTAATTAAATTTGCCGTCTTCCTACGAGCCATTTATATATAAACTTTCGAATCAAAAAGGTCGGATAAAAATTGTGAACATTGATCGGAATTTTAATTATCAATATCACTCGTAAAGTCCAGTACGTAGAAAATTGTTAAATCTCATCTATTCAATATCGATTTGACAATTCATCGACAACTATGCATCGACAATGAATACTTGGAGACTTGTATCTTAAAAATAAATTCACGTATAATTTTATTTAGATTAAAAGCAATTTGGTCTATCGAATTGCCTTGCTAAAGCATCGCTGTTACCAATTGCTCAATCAGCCAGTCAGTAAGTGCTAACTGAATTCCCAAGTATAATACTTACTTAGTAGTTATTATCAGCGATTGTACAATCTACGTGCGTGATTTATAAAAAATATTACTTTTAAAATTGAATAATTTAATTGTCCCCGCTTCTATACGATCGTGTTCTTTTCTTTTTTTTTTTTATCTTCTTTTTATCTATAATATTATCTGCAAAGATAACGATCGATTACGATTTGATGCGCGAATTCCGTCAATCATTTCTACATTTGTTGTATTGGCAAAGATTTGTTAGTCAATTTATTTGTTCTTTCGATTATTTGTGTACCGAGCTATTAAGTATTATCAACGATAGTTTATTTGATAAGCGCAACATACACCTGCTACATTGTTATATGAAATGAATTCGGTAAAGTAGTTTCTTATATACCAGCATATGCGTATGAGCCAATCCTACGTAATTCGACGATTTTCTTTGCAATAAAATTATTCATTCACCACCAATTGCTTGTTATTGTTATTGTTATTAATAATATTATGCTGTTGCTGTTGTTTTTGTTGTTGTTGTTATTATTATTATTTATATTATTATTATTATTCTTACTATAACTACTATTATTATTTTTTTTCTCGTCGTCGTCATCGTCGTCGTCGTTGTGTTGTTGTTAGCGATGTACGATATGAATAAGCAACGCTAAGCAAGTGGAGATTTTTTGTTTTTTATTATATTTTTTAAACATGAACAAAGTCATGCAAGATCTTACTGTACTAAATGGCCGTTGAGGGTAATAGAAGCCGCCGACAGCCTCTGCATATTTAGACATTTGGTTGCTTGCATAGGCATATACGCACACGCGCGCGCACACGGCCACGAATATATATATATATAAACTAGTGGGGGGGGGCGCCCCCCCCGCCATAATAATTCTCGAAAGCCATTTTACCGCGCGCGCGGTCGCCTTCGAAGACGTAAATGGGCATGGTCCTCGAGATTCACAACGACGCGCTTGTCTTTTACCTAAACGCCTACACGATATCCAGACCCTGTCGTTCCACAGCAGCACGTGTGCACCATTTTCCGGACACAGACGGCCAAAGTCCAAAGTCACTCGAGCTCCCAAGCAAAAACGGCTTCTCCCTTGCACACATGGTGTGCTCTCTCCCCTCTTCAACAGTCTTATACCTGCACCCGATCGTCGTCGGGGATAAGGCCAACTTTCTCCTTCAGCGTTTCGTCCCCCATTATTTAATCGTAATTCTCAACCATATAATGTAGAACGGCGTCTATGTAACGATAAGGGCTCGCGAATCCAAGAAATCTTGGATGCCGGCATGAGCAACCTATTTACGATTCTAGGACCGATTTACAGTGGCCTTGAAGTATGAGAGAGACCCTGAGAGAGAGAGAGAGAGAGAGAATGGGACGAGCGCGTAGAAGCGTATATCAATTAATGTTGGGGAGAAAGTTGTAGCGCCTGCAGCAAAAGCGACGATTTTCTATTAGGAAATCCCGCGCGCACTTTGCCGGCGCTCGAGGTTAGGTTAGTCGTCGCATCTGCTCGTTAAGCGTCACCGGCTTAGGTTATGTTACGAGCGACTGAGCGAAAAGAGCGAGAGCGCGCGCGTGGTCCTATATAGTATCGAGGAAGCGCTTCCCAAAGGAAGGAGTGGCTGTTACATGTCGTTGTAATAGGAGCATCGGGTCTCTCTCGAGAGTGACAGGGAAAATAGGAGCAATCGGACTTTATTCCTCGACGCTCGTTGCCCACATTTTGAATTTCGAAATAACGCGCAAACTGCACACTGGCGACGATGGCGGAAACGTGTTGGTATAACAGGTAAAAACGGTTCTCTATCCAAAACTTTTCCCGCCTGTATGCTTGCAAATCATCGAAGCCTACCGGGATACGCCTTTTTATTTAGCGAAAATTTTATTTATCCACTGCCGTTCTTTACTTATTTATCCTGCGCTTTTTTCCAACTGGTCACTGGCCCCGTCGAGCTAGCTCGATCATTTTCCTTTCAAGCGCTTTTCCACCAACTTCGCATACGACTTTGTAATATTAAATGGTAGAAAAGTTTCCTTTTATCTTTTCGTCGATCCTCATTACTTACCACACCACTCGTCACACGTACCACCTACCACTTGTTGTATCTTTATGTGTAGAGTACACGACTAATGGAAATTTTCATCATTTTCCATTACCGCAATTCAAGAAGTTTATGATATTCTTATGGTGCCATACTTCAATATTCTTTATCACGAATATTTAAATTATTTTTAAAGTGTATCATTTGCGTTAAGTGAAAATAGCATTTGATATTATAAAAAATGTGCTATATTACCTCTCTCTATTTGCATTTTACAAGGTGTTCAAAAATAAAAATACAGTTATTTTGTTTATATTGAATGTACATGGTAGTGTTGTAAATGTCTGTGTTTGAACTTATAAAAACAGGATAAACCCATTACTTATATAGTCGTATTAAAATAAAAAAGTACTTAAGTTCATACGTGCATGTGCATGCATATACGCACATATATATATATATATATACACACACACACACACACACACACAGAGAGAGAGAGAGAGAGAGAGGTACCCACAGAGAGTTCTTTTGGGAATTTTTTATTAAAATTTTAATATCATAATTATTCATAAAATATAAATACACGAGTAAAAATTTGTTTAGGTATAAGGCTTTTAAGTTCAATAAATATATTATCTATCCTTCGCATCTCCGATTTAAGATTTTATAAATAAGAAAACAAATCCTAGAAACGATACTTTAATAGATTTAGCAATAAAAATGATTATTCCAAATGGTAAATTTGACTTTTATCCTTAAAAATAATGTTTGCAGCAAGAGAATGCGTTTGGACGATGGCTGTAATAATAATTTAAATAGCGCATCTGTAAAAGAGAGTGAAAGATGGTCATGTTCCGGTGATACCAGCTTAGTGGAGCCTGAAATTTTAGAAGATATGGGTGTTAGTATGCTCGCCGACGGAGAAGCTAGTCGAGAAAGCTTACAAATTTTGAAAACACAAGAATGTACAATATCGCCAAAAAACTTTGAGTCTAATAGACATTCAAAGAATAAGAGTACCATGTACGAAACAAAAGAGACATTCAAGAGTACGAGCTTTGAACCAGCCAATGTTGACAGGTAATGTTACAACATTATATCGCGATTTATTATGTAAATTATTCTTCTACCCTGTTAACTTTCACGTTGATTTTGTAACTGCCTTTTTAAAACTTAAATAAAATTATTTTGACTCGTATTAATCAGCAATAGAATGAACATTACTAGTTTAGCATTTTAAATTTGCTTTATATGGATCTGACATTATTCTTTAATTTCCAAAGATTGGATCCATTTGATAACGATGACACTGTAAATTTTTCTGCAATAAACAACGAATCCGGTTATTCTTCTAGAGTTGAAAATGAAAATTTTATAGAAGCAAAAAATTTTGGCAAGGAAGACTCGAACGACGCTTCAGATAAACCGGGGACAGATCCATTCTATTTATTCAGAAGAAAGAAGAAACTATCTATAATAGGCGAAGACAAATTCAATAAACTTTCAGATGAAATGATTCTTATGATCTTAAAATGGCTTCCAAAGAAGTGTCTAGTAAGTTATTAATTATTAAGACGTTGCAATTACATAATTTAAAGGTGTAGGCTGCAGCGCCACTTTATAAGTTTCCTATATAAACAATGTCCTTTTTTACGGTACGCTAATTAATTTTCATTATAATTATTTTTTTCCGTACTATATCTTTTAAATTCATTTAAACAATCTTTTTAAAACTTCTTAAAAATATTACCTTCGCCGCATGCCTTAATACTTGTATTGAAATTATTCGATAGGTTCGTTCGATGTTAGTTTGTAAAAGATGGTGCCAAATAGCTCGAGACGAAGCTTTATGGTCGAGACTAGATCTTGGCAGTAAGGTATTGAACGAGGGCACGTTAGGTCACATTCTTCCAAGAGGCGTTCAAATTTTGAGATTGGCACAAGCTGAAATCGCACATCCAGCTTTCCTCAAAACGAACGGCGACACACTTTGGGAAAATTATATTTGTAAGCTACAGTACTTGGACCTTTCCATGGCAGTTGTCTCCCCTAACGACTTGTCAGATTTATTATCAAAGTGTAAATATTTAAAAAAATTATCTCTGGAAAAGTGTACGTTGAACAAATCGAGCTGTGAAGCAATTAGCAATAATCAAGATTTAGAAGTTCTTAATTTAACAATGTGCGAAAGAATGAATATCGATTGTATAAAGGACCTGATGAAATTAACAAGGTATTTAACAAATTTTCAACGCTCTCCGCGCTTTCTCTTCTATTTCTAAAAACAAAATTCACGCTCTTTTCATTATATTAAAAAAAACTTTCAGACTAATATCCCTGAATATAGCATGGTGTGTTTTGGATTCCGAGTCAATGGGTTATTTATGCCAAACTTTACCCTCGTCCATTACAAGATTAAACATCGCTGGCTGTCGAAAGACATTGACAGACGACAGTAGGTTTCTACATAATTCTTATTATTGGTAAACGTTGGACAAATAAAAATCGAGCGATTATACCAATAGAACATAATTTTCTTCCATTTATCATGTAGATAATGTGTCCGTTATGTATTATTCGTTGAACGTAGAGAAAGAGAAAACAATGAAAGAAACAAAAAATCGTGAGCAAATGTATTTTACTCGTTTCGATTACTAAAATCGTCCAATTTTCATCAATTAAAGCTTATTTCCAAAGCTAATACAAGCTCACGTAAATTCTGCGAGGGCTTATGTCGGGATAATGGTTAAAACATTGATAAACTTCACCTTCCAGATCTAAAGGACCTGGCCCAATGTTGTCCACACCTCGTGGAATTGGATTTAAGCGACTGCACAATGCTCACCATCAACACGGTGCACAGTTTAATAAACTTAGGTGAATTGGAGCATTTATCGCTTAGTCGCTGCTATAGCATTCCGACGTCGATGCACCTTAGGATAGCGCTAATGCCGCGTTTGAGATACTTGGATATATTTGGATTGATATCCGACGAACTGCTCAAGACTTTTCAAGCAAAATGTGACAGCGTTGAAATTAATAAATTTCAATATAGTGCAGTTGCTAGGCCAACCGTTGGGGTTAGACGAACTAGTATATGGGGTCTTCGAGTAAGAGATTAGACTGGTGTCGTTGACCAACGTTTCTCTTTTAGTGAAAATAGAGGTCGATAAGCCTTAAGAACATACCAATGATGTCATTTTTTTTTTAATTTTTATATAATGTAGGCTGAAATTTAAATTGTTCATATTATTATGTGAAAATATACTGATAGAGATTTTTCTTAATTTACCGTTGAAAGTGCTTTGACGAGAGAATAGTAATTAAATTGTATTTAAAATTAACTATCCTTAATTGCAATGGATGCTGCACAGCATGTGGCGCTATAAATTTCGAATATAAAATTTATTACAATTCATTAAAGTAATTCGAAGGTTAGATTTGAGTTTGTTAGTTAAGAATTGTGGTTGTGCCGTCGATGAAACGTTACCATGGAATGGGGAAATTAAAAAGTAAGCTAACGGAAATAAAATTCTTAATAAAGTGCCTTTCATACTTTGTACATATAAGATCCATTAATTAATTTTGACAATGAAAGCAGTATGCTTAATTATTTCAAGGCTGTGTGTGTTAAAACATTATTAATGCCAACTGAAGATGTATTTCGTGATATGATATGCTGTTTTTTATATTATAATAAAAAAATCATATTATGTATTGTCAATTTATTTATGAATATATATTATTATTATTATTATTATTATTATTATTATTATTAGTAGTAGTAGTATTTTTTTTTCTTTTGCTATTGTTAAATGAAAAGATTGACATTAACTAGTTTATAAATAGCCACATCCAAGCGGGAGATTATTTTTATATTTACATCTTTGTAACAGTATTTTTTTTTTCAACGTTTGTGCTAATAATGAGACGTTGCAAGAACAATGAACGAAATTGTAAATTTACAAGTAGTTTGGATTAAGAAAGAAATAAATTTTTATTTTCAACAGCAAAAGCTTTGCTCCCTCTTTTCAATCTTTGAAACAATACCACATGAAAATACTTGGGGTACATGATCGAATAACCTTACTCTATCATTTCATCTGCTTTTATTACAAAGTCATAAGTCACTTAAACAGTTGAAAAATAAGACATTGTGCGCGTAAAAAGAGGAAAAGAAAAAGGATTATAATAATTGTGACACGGCACACCAGCCCCCGCCTCCACAACGCCGTTATCCATGTCACAATAGAAAACGAAATGTCTATAATATTAACATAATAATTACGCATTGGATTTATTTTCTGCTTAATCGTTAACGTCTTAAAATGTACATTAACGGCTCGACACGCTGCTATAAACGACTACGAGTTTTAAAAATTAAATAAATACTCTTCTCGTAATGACGTTAAGTGTCTGTCTGCATGAGACTTGTGTAGGCAACGATCGATGAGTGACGCATAATAACATTAGATTAAATTTGTCGAAATAAAAACGTTTATTCATTGGCAGCATTGCAACAATGCACACATGATATCGCAATTAATGGAATTCTAACGAGGATTCGCAAACCGAAACCTCATACAAGCGGGCATTCGGATTCGTCGACCATTTTGAAAATATAATCAACATTAGTCTATTAACAACAATTACTTTACAGACCACATGGCTAAATAAAATCTAATCAATTACGCTTGGCTTTTGACCGCTAGTCAGCCGAAACATCAGTTCAAGCGTACCTAAGCATCGGCGTGCATAGTGCTCGATCCGAAATCCGATGCTGTGTCGATCTGGGGAATCTTTTGAACGTCCACGCTGCTCTCCTTGGCACCGCTGTAGATCGACTTGGATTCCTTCTTCTCCTGGTCGCTCTGCCATTGGACCTGAAGAGAGAGAGAGAGAGAGAGAGAAAGGGCAAGACGACGATCGTCCGTTAGAATTACGTCTTACACGGCATGCGAAAAAAGAGAAAGAAAAAAAAAATCGTACCTTCTGCCGATGCTGTAATACGGCCTCGGAGCACTTCTCGATGGCCATTTCTTGGGTAAGCACACCGTTGGCTGAGGCGTATGCCGCCGCCTGCCAGGCAACCCCGAGCTTGGCGAGCTCCCTACCGGACAAGCCCTCGGTGATGCTGGCCATCCTCTTGCACAGCTCCCCGTAATCGAATTGCGCGATCTTGAGCCTACGCTTACCCTCGAGCGCCGGCTGCAGGACGAACTTGTCGAAGTAGAGCCTAACGAGACGCTCGCGCTCCTCTAGTCCCGGAAGCGAGAACTCGACCATCTCGTCGAGGCGATCGTTAACCGCCCAGTCGAACTGCTCCGGCGTGTTCGAGGCGAGGACGAGCATGAAGCGACTGCTCTGCTCACCGGTGCGATAGAGAAAGGCGTTCAGCATCGCGCGCAGGTCCTCGCTTATGTGCTCGCTCGAACGCTTGCGCAGGAACGCGTCGGCCTCGTCGATGAAGAGGAGCAGGCCCCTGCGGGACGTCAACGCCCAGTCGAACACCTTGTGAATGGCGGTGACGCCGTCTCGACCGAGGGGCGCCAGGTCGCCGCCCGTAAGGATCGCGTAATCCATGCCCGAGTGCTCGGCCAGGCGCTTCGCGAACATCGTTTTACCTGAAAGTCACGCGAGGTCGCGTTTTTCGTTAATAAGACAATTGCCACGCGGTTATGCCAACTTCGGTCAGCTACTTTTTCCCACGGAAGACCACTTAACATCACACCCGAATTTCTTTCTTCCGCCACAAGGATTTTACCGAGATGTTTTTAACTTTAATTTATTTCTCTCCTCAAAATATTAAGTTTAATTATCGGACGTCTTGTTGCCCTCGTGTCCTAATAAATAAGCATCTTGATTGGTAAAAAAATTTCAAAATATACTATGATAATTCACCTTTGTATAAAACGTTTATAATTACCGATTATAACGAGGAAGCCTAACGAGCCGCGATGTTTAATTCAATTTTTGTAATCGATTTAGCACAATTGTGTTAAAAAGTTACTTGGAGGCATAAAAATTATTGTTAATTTCCCACAATATGTGTAAAAGAATAATTTTCGAGATATATTTCTAAACTCTATTTTTGTCTAATTCGGCAAGCTGCTGGTTTTTGTTCTTCGAAATTTAAACGAATATTCGTTAGGAGGGGAATTAAAAAAAAAAAAAAAAAAAAAAAAAAAAAAAAAAAACGATTGATCCATCTGGCAAGTACCGTCGATTGAATTTATATATTTTTTCATTTAACGACAAGAGTGACTTTGATTGTAATGATCATTGAATAAGCGACTCGTCGTCGATCTTTTCGTTTCAATAGTGAATTGTGCTATTTTATATTTGTCCCTTACAACTTGGCGATAATTAAATGTAAATATTGACTATTCCTATCCACGTGGATTCTCCGTTATCGCATTTTAGCAACAACGTCGTTTCAAAAATTCAAGTTGCTTCAATCCAATATGTATTGGGGACATGAAGCGAGCGACATTTTTAAATCGATTAGTCAGTTGCGCCGTTGGTTAATCTTCTAACGTTAGCAGCGAGGACAAATCAGCGCCCCCCCCCCCTCGACCGACCGATGACATCGATGGAAGAAGTATGAATGAAGGACTAATACATACCGGTTCCTGGGGGACCGTGCATCAATATATTCCTGTACATTCCTCGATTCTGCTTGGTGTTCTTGGTGGCGATGGCGATGTCGCGCAGCCGCTCCTCGAGCTTGGGCGCTAGGATGACGCCTTGCAACGCATCCGACTGCTTGAACTTCATTCTCCGAGCAAGCTGGATGGGATGACGGAGGGCGTCGAGGGCGGAGAAACGAGAGGTTTCGCGCACTAGGGAGGGTTTGCCGAGGTGTGCCTCGACGTAGCGCGTGACGATGCCCGTTGAGCCTTTGGCCGTGTAGACGCCGAGAGCGAGAAGGGATATGCCGCCGGCTGCCGCGAGGATCTTATCCCAGTCGTTGAGCAGGGCCGAGGCACCCGATCCCAGTACCGAGCCAGCGGTTCTGAAATGCAATTTACAAGCTTAGCTTTCGAGATGAATCTCTTCTTGACTTTGTGTGTAGCGCGTCGATATCGACTCACGGATCATTGGAGATTACTGTCGCATCGAAAGTTTACGGTAAAATACTTTTAAATTCGCGTTAAACGCGCAAGGACTTAATTATCGTGTATCCTCAATTTTCAAATAAACAAAATTAAAAATAATTTTTTTTTTTTTTTTTTTTTTTTTTTTTTATAGCGAATTTAATATTTTATCTCAATAATATAATATACATTTCCATCAAAATGGTATTGTATAAACAATCTGTAAAACGATGCAAAATGTGACCTTTTCATAAAGTAGCAATGTAAACAATCGCAATGTGTTTCCAATGATTTTTTTACACAATTAACGACGATTAAACGATTGAACTACTAAAAATATTGCGTTTTATTGCATGTTTATTTCATTGCCTGAATCAGTGAATTTGTACTTAGTTTTTTTTTTTTTTCAATTTAATTCTTTAGTTTATTGCACTTTAATTTCCACACTAATTTAAAATTAACAAATTTATACGAAAAAGTTAGAATAAGCCATACTTTATAGATTCTAAGACTGTGACTCTGTGTTCTGATGCTTTTAGTTTAATTTTTTCCAAATTTAAATCTTGATTTTCCCTATCCACCTTTGCCCTCGCTTTCATTTCCGCATCCAATTTTCTCATCTCGTTTCTATGCCTCAATTCCATTTCGTGTTCCACCGTCGCTTTTCTCATCGCCTCTTGCTTAGCCGTCGATTCTTCTTGCCTTCTTATATTATCCTCGTTCATTCTTTGCTGCTGTAATAATTGCTCGTCATAGCGCTTTCTTGCCAACTGGTCTTGATACTGTGCACGCATTTGATGTTGTTTGGTCTCCTCTTGCAACGTTTTTCTACGCTCCTCTCCATCCACGCGTTTTTGTTCAGCTTTCATTTGTTCGATTCCGGCCTCGTATTTCTTCATTTTAGTCTGAAGCTCTTGCTGCCTCGTAGCCTCTTGTAACTTTGACAATTCAAGGGCTTCCTTGGCATGAACTGTGTAAAAAGGAATTATTTAATATTTTTACCTAATAGCTTGAAATACTTAAATATATTAACACCCACCCGTGCCATTAAGTTTTAACGTTAATTTATTGTACCGATATTCATTTATAGCTAAGTTTTGAGTCTGATACATTTAAGAGGTAATATTAAGATTAAGGCGAATAAATTAAAGAACCTAGAATAGCAATTTTTCATTATATAACCGAGAATTTACATAAAAATATAATTTACAATTAAAAATCTTATGTACGCATTAATTTCCATGGTATCTTATGACAACGATATAAATTAATCTCACCTTTATCGATGAAACGTTAGTCATTGAAAAGAAATTCCTCTTTTAGAAATAATCCTCGCACATTAACCATTAAACATTACGATATTAAATTGAAAATTATTTAAATAAATTGTTTAAATGATTGTTTAATATTGTATTATCGAGTCATCTTGCCTACTCAATTGTAATTGCAAAAATTTGTCAACAACATTACGTGCAAATTGGCAACAAAGAGCCTCGATCAGAGTCTTGACAAAAAAATTAATATGCAATATATGACTTAAGGAATAATCGTGTAATCTCATTTGTACGTAATTGTCAGTGCTATTGACTGAAAATAAACAACAAGAAGAAGGCGAAGAAGATGAAGAAGAAGATGAAGAAGAAGAAACCGAAGCTGAAACCAATGACCCGGTATAAGTAAATTGTATCACTTTTTCCAAGATAACGCGATGAAAAATATATTTCATTGCGCGCGTCATTGATGTCTCGAGAAAAAAACGTGCCATAGGAGATCAGGCTTTTAATGCAATTTATTCTTAGCTTATCTACGCATTGGCGCATCGTACTTTTACGCGCGATCCATCGCCAAGTCAACGATAATATAATTCTCGTTAAAAATTCTTCTTAAAAACACATGGCCGGCCTAACCTCAAAGCCGCGAGCCTTACGTAATCTTACATAACTGTTGATAATTCGAGGAAAATTCAAATTCGAAAACTGACTAAATGGTCTTACTGGATCTCTCGAGGTCCTTGGCAGCGGCAGCCGCCCGCTCAAGTGCACTCGAGTCGAATCTATACGAATCCGCTTGATTGTTTTTCGTTTTCTTCGGAGGGTCTCCATCATTGGAGCCGCCACCCGCTGCTCCGGATCCGCCAGAGGCCGGCAACTGGAACTGGCTAAAATCCTGCGGCGGCCTGTGATTCCCCAGGAGCCACGACATCTCCAGATCATTCAATTATATCAGTCGGCTTATAACTCGCTTACACTCCCGACCTTATCACTATGCCCACGATCCTCGGCCACGTGCGCCACTACTATAACCTATTCGAGACGATATACCAACGGGCGCGTGCGGACCGGTCGACAATGATCCGCCCGACGAGTCAACGATTCGACGATTCGACGATTCGACTGGCCAACGTCTAAGGAAACCTACACACTGGCTTGCCTCATTGCGCCAAGGGTCTTGCTTCTGTTTTAGCGATCGCGAGTAATTTAGTTTTACGAGGAAAAGACTCGCGCTGGTTGGTCTTGCGCGTCACGTGCCATTTGGTTTCTGGTTGTGACGTATGATTGTATTATCAGAAGCTGGAGGCACCGAGTTGCACAGCAACTGCCAAAAAGACTGTCGACATTTTGCATTAGTAAAATTAAAAGGCCTGCGATGTAACAATGTCTTGGATCTAACGAAAGCCGACTTTCATCATTCGTTTATCCAATTGATTTGGTCTTAGCCTATTCTCCTTTAAAATACCAGTTCAGCTTAGGTTTGGAGTGGCAAATGTGATGTGATTGCCGATGTTAAATGCCGAAGGACGATGCGTTCTTAATGCGCATGTTTAATTAATGCCTCGACGATTAATTCAATATGAACACTTGATTTTTCCTTAAGGAATGTTGATTTAAAAATTATGTATTACAAGGGATTTCGATGTCGGTCGAGCCGTATAAACAAATTGGCCCTTCGGTGAGTTGACAAAATTAATGTTAATGTTAAGAGCGTTGGAGAAGGAATAAACTATATTATAATAGTTATTTTATTGTAGTTATTTTATTGTATTGGATAAAGCAGAAAGTTAAAACGGATAAGGATGAACGTACGATAATATATATATATATATATATATATATATTTTTTTTTTTTTTTTTTAACATAATGTATTTTAGAGTAAGAGAAGAGCTTATTTTATATTATCAGAACGATATTTCGAATGAAATAAAATTTAATAGATGTTAAAAAATGATAATACCGTACGAAGAATTTACATCAATTCATCATTACTTAAAATATTTTTTTTAAATTTTTATAAAGCTTTTATATGTAGTTTTTCAAAAAAAATTTTCAAATGAGCGATTAATACGTGCTTTTTTTTTTTTTTTTTTTTTATAGAAATATCTATCTACCATGGAACGTGTTTTTATTGCATTATAGAAAATACAAATATTAATGAATTAAAAGATACAATGAAAGCATATGTAATAATAAACGGTATTATTGATAATATAGAGCAATAAAAACAAAATATTTTATATAAGAAATCAGATTATTCGAGAATAATATCAAGTGAAAATAAACATCTGTATTGCTTGTAAGTTATAGACAATTAGAAAAAAAGATCGACTATAATAAATTTATCGCTACAAAAAAAAAAAAATAGAACGCATTAAATTGTATAGCACGGGATTTGAAATTTAGTTTCAAAGATAATAGAAATTTTAATTTTACTAACTCCATATATGGATAAATGCGTTTTTACAATCGAAATAGTCTTTTACATAACATAAGTTTACACTTATTATTTAGCTATTGTTCAAAAATTTTCCACACAAGCCGTACAAAACATCTTTTTCTCTTTTTTTATCTAATTCATTATATTCATTCTCTAAAAATTACAATACTGAAAATGAATGTTTTTTTTTTTTTTTTTTTTTTTTTAAATTTTTATAATGAACTTTTAGATATTAGGTATTCAAAAGTTTTTTTACGTTCCGTGATTATATCATTTACCAAAGGGATGACAAGAATATTTGACAGTTATTTCATAAAGTTTTCTAACAAAAAAAAAAAGCTTTTTCAGCTTCAATGTATAATGATAATATATTAATTTAAAATTTATTTACTATTTATTATGGCTGAGACTTGCACGGATTAAGAGTTCGATAACTGCATTGCAATCATCATTATTAAAATGATTTTTGAAAATTTTGTTTTTGTTATTATTTTATTTGTTGTTGTTGTTGTTGTTGTTGTTGTTGTTGTTGTTGTTGTTGTTTTGAAGAGAGGAAAAATGTGTCAGAGACAGTCGTGAAGTTGCAAAGGTTTGAAACGCTCGTTAAGTGGCCGCGGGTAAAATAAATAATAATACTAAACACTCTTTA